GGCCGGGGTGGGCGCTCCGCTCGGGGCCGCCGCGTCCTCCGGACCCCAGGCCGAGGGCCCCCCGCGCGCGCCCGCGGGGGTGCGGAGGATCCCCCGGGAAACGGCGCGCCGAGGGGGAGGGGGTGCGCGGCTGCGGCGAGCGCCGCTTGTGCACCCGGCGGCGCCCGTGCACCTCGCGCTCTCCGCGAGCCCGGCCTCCGGGAGGGGCGCGCGCTGCGCAGCGGCGGGAGGTGGGCGCGCGCCCCCCCAGCCGGGGAAGTTCCAGAAGTGCGGGGGAGGGGCCCGGCGCCCCGAGATTCCTCTCTGGCCTCTGCTCGGCCTTTCCCAGGGTGGTGCTCTGCGTGGACGAGGCCGGCTCGCAAGGCCCTGGGTTTCGGGTCTTCACCCACACACACCTTTGGCCCTGCCCTGCGCCTCTCCAGCCCCCAGGGCCGGGCCTGCCCTCCGCCCCCACAAACTGGTTCCTCTGCTTTGCCGGGTTCTGTTAGAACTAGTCCCTTTGACTCCCCGTTTTTGCCCCCCCCCCCCCGGTTTTGGTTTACGGGGAGGGAGGAGAAGGAGGTGTTCTTCCGACTCGCACCAGGTTTCCTGCCCCCAAGGCGGGCTTGGGTGCCCCCTCTGGCAGGAAGTAGGGCCGGGCGCACCCGCGTGGTGGTGCATGTGGTCGGGGTGCGTCGTTTCCCGCGCCTGCAGGCTCTGCGCCCCTCCCCCTCGCCCTAGCTCCTGGAAGCGCCGGCCTACAACCGCCAGGCCCGGGACACTGGCGGAGGCACCCTCACTCTGAAGTAGAGGGCGCCAGGGTCGGAACCTGCTTCTCAGTAAACAAAGTGGCGGTCTGTAGGCGTTCCGCAGGAACCTCCATTTTTGCCAAGTTGCTGTGTGACCTTGGGCCACTCAGGGGTCTTCTCTGGGCTACTTAAAGGGGAAAAGAAAAACCAAACGTGACAATGGACCTGCCAGGATGTTCAACTCTGGCCGCCACTGCACAGGGCCTTGAACACTGAGGGCCACATGGCGAGTGCCCGTGAGGAGACAGCCTGGAGGCCCAAGAAAGCACAGCGGGCGGCCTTGGACTTTAATGTGGCTTCTGCGCGCCAGGCCTGCCTGATGCTGAGAAACAGGTGGGGAAGTTTCCTTGGCCCTAGTGGACAGGGACTCTAATAAGCTCTTCATGCAGTGGGGGCTTTGGGGAGAGCAGGTGGTTTAAAGGGCTCCTAACGGCAAGAATCAGGGAGGCACCAGGTGGCGTCACAGCGTCCGGGGAGACTGGCGGGCTGGGTGCGTGGTCCCTTGGCCTGGGGCTGGCTTTCCTCCATGACCCCCCTCTGAAGGGCCCCGGCAGACCTCAGTGTGAGGTCAGCGCTCCTTGAGCTGATTAATTTTGATGTTTGGTTTGAAGGAGACCTGTGGTGTAATGTAAGATTCTAATCACGGTCTGTAATTAGAGAACAGACCAAAGCCACTAATGATGGAGCTGGCCCAGCTACCCTGCTCTGAGGGGTCTCGAGGTTGAAGTATTGTACTAGAATAATTAGCTAGAGCCCCACCATCTGGAGGGTCTCTTACTGCTTGAATTAGGAAGACCGTTAAGTGTTTTAAAAAATCACAAAAGTTTTCGAAAATGTTTTCCTGCCAATGGAGTCAAAAATTACCAGTTGTCTCACAAGAGGGAAAGAGGGTTGGGCGCAGCCTGTGTTAGAAGAGCACTGCCCAGCACTTGTGAGGCCCTAGCATCGACCCTCAGCTCAAAAGGAAGGACCCCGGTCCTCACGATGGCCGTGAGGTAGCTCTGCGTTGAGAGGCTACTGCCTCTGGCTTCTGCCCTCCTTGAGGACAGGCTGTTTGAGTCTCTGAATGGGCTCCTGGGCCTGTGGCTGGGGGTGCACCCTGCTGGCCGTCTTGTTTAACCTCTCCAGAGGAGATCCCTAAGTGCAGGGTGCAGGCTCTTCCTATGCCAATCTCCACCCCCCTGCACACGGAGTGTGTCCTGACCTGGAGTGCCAGGCTTCTTACTACCGAAGTCTTTAGGTTGGGATCTGCCCTTCCCCCGAGATGCTCTCCACGCAAGACTTGGGAGACCCTCGGCCCCTCCCTCTGCCTCCTCCCCCATCTCTGGCTCTTGAGGGTGTGGTGGGCGCTAGCAGTGTGTTCCGGTTCTCCACCTTGGAGCTGCTGGGTGTCAGCCCTGGCAGGCAGTGGGCATGGGGCTTCCTAGGGCAGCAGCTGGCAGAGGGAGGACGGGGGTGAGGGACCCTTGAGGCGGGTCTGACCTGGCGGGGCCTCGTGGGTGCCCTCCCGCCATTGTGCTGGGGAGGGGCCTTGTCTGGTCTAGGGTGGTGGAAACAGCTGTGTAACTGTCGTATCTCCCTGCATCACAGCCAGTCTCTCAGCTGCCCCAGAGGGAAAGAAGATGAGTGAGTCGGGCTCCAAGTCCAGCCAGGCCCTGGCCTCCAAGCAGGAAAAGGACGGGGCTGAGAAGCGAGGCCGGGGCAGGCCACGCAAGCAGCCTCCGGTGAGTCCTGGGACGGCGCTGGTAGGGAGCCAGGTGGGTGTTGCTTCTGTTTCCTTTCTTGGGGCAGGGAGGGGTTCGGAACTGTCTCCTTCCGTATGTGCATGTGTGCTCCCCGTCCCCGGGCACGCTCACTGCCCAAGGCCACAGTGTGGCGAGCCACCCCTGTCTTAACGCTCACCCAGGAAAGCAGAGGCGGGTGTGGGGTCCAGGCAGGAGGGTCAGGAAGGCCGGACCCTGTCTTAAAGGTGTCTAACATTTTTGCCCTGGCCAGAATGAAATCAAAGGCCAGGTGCCTTTTCACAGTTGTGAGCGTGTAGTGATACTCTGTCATGTTGCTGTCAGGGTTTTTTACGCCCTTACTACCCATTTCTGTACTTCCTCATGTCAAGTGAGAGAGCGTTCTTGGACTTCCTTGTGGCCCTTTTTATTTAGTTACTTATGCTGGCCCTGGCCCTGTAAGTGGGCACTGAAGCCCTGTGCGAGGCCCCTGCAAGGGAGGCCAGCGGGATGTTGGCTGTGCCACCTGCCTGCCTCTGCTGGAGCTCTCAGCGCTCCACAAAGTTGCGTGGGGCGGGGAGCTGTTGGTGGCCCTGGGGAGGAGGCAGAGTGTGTCCCCGCCAGGTCGTCTTAGCTGAGAAAGCCTGCTGGGTGATGGGGTTTCCCTGCCGTCTCCAGGTAGGGTCATTGGACTGTGGCTGCCGCAGGGGTTTGTGGCCAGGCTGGCTTCAGGTGCAGTGCTGGCTGGGGTTGGTGAGCGGGAGCCCTCCGGCAAGCACAAGCTTTTGGGGTCTGGATGTGCAGAGGGGTTTCTTCTGTGAGGCATGAGGGGCAGGAGCAGTTGTGGCCAGTGCTGGGCGTTGGCCTCAGTGCTGTTTTGACTTACCTGGCCCTGGCAGGGCCTCTCCACCTCGTACAGGTGAGACAGGCTACAGTGTTGGGCATTTTGCAGACCACCAGTGACACAGTAGAATTGATGGGGCCACCTGACCGCGCTCTCCCTGCTCTAGTGACACCTTTCCCAGAGGTCTCTGCTCGCTTATCTTTGGCTGTGGGGCCCGCGGGCTTGCCTGCTGCGTCCCCTGTGGACTCGGGGTTGGGGTGACCTCCGAGGGGCTGACACAGCTTGGTTGTTACTGTTTCCCTGACTCTGTCGTTGCAGAAGGAACCCAGTGAAGTGCCAACACCGAAGAGACCTCGGGGCCGACCAAAGGGGAGCAAAAATAAGGGAGCCGCCAAGACACGGGTAAGGCTCTTTCTGCGTGATGTCCTGGGGTTAGGCCAAGAGTGTTCATGGGTCTTTGCTACTGTGGAAATTGGGGTGTCCAGGACAGTGGGGAATAGATGGAGACTGAGGCCTGTGCCAGCTCAGGGCTGAGAGTGTCGCCCTCATTCATCCTGGGGACACGGAGCGTGCAGGGAGGGCCAGACTCACGTTGGTATCAGCCTTTCAAAAATGTTGTCTTGTTTTTTATTTTCTAACACACGACTCATATCCTTTTGAGTCACTTGTGGAGGAGGGAGTGGGAGGGTGTGTATCTTGGGTGGGGGTTGGGGGCTGGCCAGTCATCAGCAGCTGGACTTGGGTGGACCTGCTGGTGGGGTCCTGGGCGGCCTGAGCCAGCCCCTTGCCCGGTCACACAGGGCTTTGGTGTCTTGTACTGTTGAGCACTCTGCACTTAACAGCTTGTTTTTTCCCCAACCCTCTAGAAGGTTACCACAGCTCCAGGGAGGAAACCAAGGGGCAGACCCAAGAAGTTGGTAGGTTGCTCTTTTATTTGCGGGGGGGTTGGGGGAATAATGCCCTGGAGTTTGGCCAGGGATGCTGAGTGTTTGAATATATGTGGTCAGGGTTAGCTTCTGCTTCAGAAATCCCATGTCTCCAGAAAAGAATTCGTAATTTCAGGTACTCATTGTGGGAGGGGTGCCATGGGACCACATTGGGCCCCCAGAAAGTATCCTGCGCACATAACTCCTTTCCTGGGACCTTCCTGGAAAGACGAGAAGTGCAGATGTAGATCGGGAAGGGAAGCATGCACTGTTTGGACCCTATAAGTGGGGCTCTGTAAGGAGATGTCAGCCCTAAGAATGCTGTGCTCCTTCCTGAGTCCCTTTTCCAAGCTGTCTTTAAGATTCCTTGATCTGAGCCACCCCGTACTGGAGGGGAAGGGGGCCCTCTGGCCGGGCCCCAGGATGAGTAACAGGAAACTAGTTGTTTTGGAGTTTGCCTGGCACTGTGGGGGCCATGGGGCCCTGCGGTGTCCCAACATTCCCGCCCAGTGAGTGAGCCCCCGGGTCACACGCTTCCTTCCCACCCTTGGCTGCCTTCTTGTTAGCAGCACACCTGTTTCATGTCGCCTTATAGTTCCCCTCCAGTTTTTGTCTCTCTTGCCCTTCTGCCTCTTCCCTGGAGAGCCTGCCGCTTCCTTAGCCCTCCGTGTAGGCCTGGGCCAGGCGCCTGGTCTGGCCTGTGTGAGAGCAAGTGTGTGTGTGTGTGGTTTTTTTTTCCTCCCTTTAAATCCTTCATTTTTATGAATGAAAGCAGCGTGGAGGTTGCTGAGTCACCCACACACTCAGCCCTGACTCATCCCCCTTCTGCAGAGGAGAGCCTTTGGGGGGGGGTGTTAGCGGAGGAGGGCCAGGCCCAGAGTCTCCTTTGCTTCCCACAGGAGAAGGAGGAAGAAGAGGGCGTCTCCCAGGAGTCCTCGGAGGAGGAGCAGTAACCACCACAGCGCTGTGCCGCCTGCTCCTCAGCCCCTGAGGAGCAGCTTTTCCCCTGGGACTGGAAGCCCTGCTCCCAGGCCCCTCCCCGCCCCCACTGCACACTACCGCACTAGCTGCAGGCTCTGCGGCACCCATGGGAGCAGGATTCGGCCCGTGCCCTCCTCCCCGCCACACCTGCCCTCTCCCGACAAGGCTAACCTCCCTCTTAGCCGCAGCCCATCCTGCCGCACAGCTCCCCGAGAGAGCTGCTCTCCGGGCTCTTTGTTTCTCCAGTCCCTTCTGCTCTGCTGTTCCTGGCTTCCTTGTAGGGGTCCTGGGAGCCTTCCCTGGCCTTAAGGGGCCCCAGCCCCGCTCCGCTCCTCTGACAAGCCCCGTTGGCTGAGCTGGCAGCAGCAGGTGTGCTCAGGCAGGGGATGCTTGCCTCCCGGCATGCCCCCACCAAGCTATGACCAGGTGGGTTTTTTCAGTCTCTCCTGCCCCACCCTACCCAGACCCTGGAGGTTGGCTAAGCCCCTTGGGCTACTGGAAGCAGGACAGGTGTGGGCCTACCCACCTTGTTCTCACCTGGGACAGTGACAGATGGAAGTTAACATCCCCCTCCAAGGTGAGGTCCTCTTTGGCTTCCACCTAAGGCAGAAGGGGGACTTTCTCCCCCCCACTTCCACTCTAGGCTGCCCCCTTCCTGCAGCGGGCACTACGGAGCTAGCCTTGCCCCCTCCTTTTGCCCCTCCCCGGCCCCCAAGGCTCTGGTTCCCTCTTTTCCTCTGTTCACAAACTACCTCTGGACAGTTGTGTTGTTTTTGGTTCAATGTTCATTCGGAGACACCCACCATTGCTGCTGCTACCAGCGCCAACATTTATCCTCCCGTTTTTTTTGTTTTTGTTTTTTTTTTTTTTTTTTGCCTGCACTCTCCTCCCCAAGACACTCTAGGGGAAGGGGGCTAGGGTACAGCAGGCCGGTCACCTACTCCACACCAGGGAAGATGGGGGCCTGCCCCATGGATGCTGCAGCAGAGTGAGGAGGGGGCCTACTTTGATGGGAAAGGGTGTAGGGCCACCAAACTCCCCTTGTTCTGTGGGGGAGGGGTGGCCAGTGTTTGTCCCAGCCTGGGGCCTCCCTCTGGTTTCCTATTTGCAGTTACTTGAATAAAAAAATAGCCTTTTCTGGACTGAGTTTCTGGTGAGACCAGGAAGTAAGGCCTAAAGGAATCAAGGAATAAAGCCACACTGCCAGGACTCAAAGATGGAGTCCACCCCAAGGAGGGTAGCTTGAAGTCACAAAAGTTTATTTACAGAGTATATACACATGATACTATACAGCTGGGCCTGCCACTACAGGAACGGCTCCAGGGACCTCTTAGGGGAGCAGAGCCACCAAACCATGAAGAAAAAAGGCCGGTGAGGGCCTGGCAGGCTTGGCTCAGAGCAGCCCTGTACCGATGGGTGGGTGGCAGGAGAGAGGGTCGTGGACACTCATGTCTTGATGTCCAGCAGGGGCATCCTCTTGTGCTGGTAGCTGTTCTGCCAGCCATGTACCACCTGTGTGTGGGGCAGGGCCAGAAGAATGAGGGCTATGGCAGTCCTCCGTTAAAGGAGCCTGCCGGGGGGGGGGGGGTGCTTGCTCACTGACCTTGGGGTCTCCCACATCAGACAGCAGCTCCTGCTCAGCCTCGTGGAGCTCTTCTGCGGGGTCATAGCTGTACATGGGAAGCAGGTGATGGCGAAGCCGGTCCACCCTGGGGAACGGGACAGTGGGCTCAGCCCAGGCCCTTGAACCTGGTGGCTAGTCCCCATCCTAGCCAGTGATGCCATCGGACCATAAAGGGACCTCCAGCGACTAGCCAAAAGCCTGGAAAAGCATTCAGCTAGGGCAGAGAGCATAGCGCCGGGAAGCAAGGACACTCACCGCTTTTTCTTCTGCACATACATTACCTGTAACAGAGACACGGTGCTGTGGAGGCTGGGGAGGTCAGTGTGGCCCATCATGAGGGCCCACTTCCACACCCTTAAATAGCTGAGATGCTGTGGGCACCAGGCCAGGCCCACCCAGCAGCTGTCTCAGCCGCATCTGATGTGGGGGCTCCTTACCACAGCCACCACCACCCCGACCAGGGTGATGAGGAAGAAGGGCCCCAACACATAGCCCACCATCGAGTCGCTGTTGGCCTGGGGGGCATTGGGCACTGTCGTGTTGCTCATGGCATCAGTAGCCAGATAGCTGTGGTCTGCATGGGCAGTGGTGGCGTCGGGAGGGCGCCTCCCCTGGGCTCCCTGGGGAGGAGGAAGGGAGGTTATCAGTTGTACCTATGGTGATAAGCAGGTCTGCGTCCCTCCCGAGCCTGGAAATCCAGGAAAACTAAGGTCAAACACTGGGATGATCAGCCGGGTGGCTGTGGCTCTGAGCCCCAAGATCCCGGACTGGCCTGCCTGCTTCCTGCCCAGCGCTTAGGACAGGAAGGTGTGGCCCAGCGCGGATGCCTGGTAGACACTTTCAGGGTGTCAGCTGCTTAGGGAAGGTTAGATGAAGGTGCAGGGCTAAATGGAGGGAAGAGATGGATAGGACGGTGTAGGGGTCCTGATTTTGCACTGCAGGCGGGCAACCCCAGGCCTGGGTCCTACACGCTTCTTGTCCCTCGAGTAACCCCAGACAGCGGTCCTCGGCATCGGTCTCAGTGTGGTGTGGACACTGAAGAGATGGAGAGTATCTAATCTAGATGTCACCTGCGTCGAGTAAGCCCGGGGCTCCGCCTATATCCCTCCCCTCCCGGCCAGGGCTGACAGGCGGAGGTGGAGAGGGTGGCCTCCACCGACAGAAACGAGATCATCGCGGGCGGGGCGGCGGCAATGAGATGGCCCAAGTTCCTGTCCAGGGCTATCAGACAGAGGAAGAGGTACGAGTAACTGCCCCAAGCCCTTGGGCCAGTTTTGCCAGTTCCCTGTCGCCAGCGAATCAAGCCGAGGGGCCAAGCCAGAACGGGAAGGCTATGAGGCCGCCCTTCTTAGGATTCTGGCCCGCCACGGCGGGGAGGAGGTGGCTCCCGCGGCGCTGGGAGGCGCGGGGGACGCGGGGGTGCCGGGGGGCCCCTAGCCGCCTGGGTGCCCTGGGACCCCGGCACCCCGAGCTGCCCGTGCGGGCGCGCTGCAGCCCATCCGACCCGGCCATGCCTTACCTCCCGCCGTGCAGCCCTGACAGCAACACCGTGGGTTGGCTCCGGCCCCGGAAGAGCCCTCCGGCGCGTGATCAAAGAACCCGGAGAGAAGGCGGGGCCTTAGCGCGACTCTAGCCCAGTGGCCAATCCGGAGGCGGGTGGGCGGGCCGAACAGGGGCCGGCCGCGTCCATGCCGCGACGGCAGGGGGCGGCCGAGCGCCGCGCAGCGGGAAGGGTGCGGGGCGGCGCGCTTTCCCGGCCGCACGCGGGCGGTGTCGGCGAGGAGCTGGCGTGCGGCGCCGGGGCTGTCGTGAAGCTGAGATGATGGCGTGGGACCGGAGCCAGCACATCCTGGGGCGGAGTGGGGCGGCAGGGCGCTTGCTTGGGTCACGGGCAGCTTGAGTTCAAGCTGTTGTGGTCTGATCGTTACTCAGACCGGAGAAATCTGAGTATGACTAAGTTTAGGTGGAAGAGGCGGCTCAGCGGTGAAGAGCGCGTACTGGGAACCAGCCCCCGTGAGGTAGCTCACAACCATTTCCAGAGCATCCAACACCCTCCTCTGACCCCCGCGGACTCCAGGCGATCAGGTGCTGCAGGCAAAACACACACATCAAATACATATATATATATATATATATATTTAATTGATGGGATTCAAAAATGTTTTGTGTTTGTGCCAGAGTCTCACGGTTTAACATCCTCGCTGGCTTGGAACTCGCTGGCGACGTAGCTCAGGGCAAGCCTGTGCTTTTTGTGAGCCTCCTGGATGCTGGCTGCGCATGTGTCACCACGCTCAGGGAGGTAGCCCAGACTAGTCTTGAACTCCTGATCCTCCTGCCTCCAGCTCACCTCCTGAATGCTAGCTAGCCAAGCGTTCTACCAGGTGAGCTAGCTTTTTCCCTCTCCCACCATTTCCCTTCTCGCCTCCTTTCCACCTACCAGATGCTGGGAGTAAAGGCAGGACATGCATTCAAGGTATATGGACTTACACTTACCCTGAGCATGTGTTGTGTGTGTGTGTGTGTGTGTGTGTGTGTGTGTGTGTGTGTGTGCAGTCATGCAGCAAACCTCTACTCCCGCTCAGTGACAACTGGACGGCTCCGGACTGAAAGTCATCTAAGAAGGCTGGTGGCGCTGGAGCAGGCTGAAGCCTCCTGGGTCAGTCAGGCGGTAAGCAGGACAAAGGACAGCCCTAGGGGCCCTGTTCTTGCAGAGGAACCCCAGGGGGCAGGTACGAGGTGCCCAGGGAACTTAGGCCTACTGGCTACTTCCTGCCTGGCAAGGGTGTTGTGAGGTACTTTGTCTGGGCCTGGATGTCCTCTGCCCCTTCTAGAGACAAGGGCAGGAGGGCAAACGGAGATACCACGGAGAAGCTCTTTCCTCAGACACTACCCCCAGACTGGGCAGGGTCAGGCAGAGGGAGAGAATCAAAGAAGCCTGAAGTCCGGAGGTTCCAGGGACAGGCGCTCTCACCTTCAGCAAAGAGACCAGACACCCTAGGCTTCAGTCAGCCCTCCAAGGATGTCGGAGCACGCACAAGATCTTAGAGGCTGGGCCCCTTAACACCCAACTTCAGTTCACCGTTGGGACTTTCACAATTGACCTCTTTCCTCCAGACTTCTGCTCCTACCTCCAGAGTGCTGAGTAACAGCATGCGCCACAATGCCCAGCTGTTAGACATCCAGATGTCTAGAAAGGGTAGTTCCTGTGGCAAAGAGCCAGGGTCCCAGGGCCTGGCCTCATTCCTAGGACAGAAACCCCGACAAGCTAGGCAGGGCAGGGGCGCAGCCCGAGGCCCTGAGCAACGTGGTGACCAGCCTTCTGTGAAGGAACGTGGTTGGCTACTGTGTCTCTTCGACAGCTCTGTGCTGGCAGCTGCTCCAAAGCAGCATTTAATAGATATAATTTTAAATTTTATGTGTGTGCGTCTTAATTTTCATTGCTATGATGAAACACCACAATCAAAAAGCAAACTTGGGTGGAAGGAGTTTATTTGGCTTACACAGTACTGTTTATCAAAGGAAGTCAGGATAGGACCTCAAACATGTGGGGCATATGGACCGCGCCACCAGGGGACCTGGCATAGAAGGAGAGTGAGGTAGAGCGTGTCCAAACCCTGGAAATCTCAACCTTGAGATTGGCAGTTCTGAGCCTGCATGCCCTGGCACACAGGGCCCCGACCCCCTACCTCTGCAAGTCTCAAGGTCACCAAGTAGCCTGGCAGCTGGAATTCCTTTCTGTGCAAACAGTGTCAGCATCCCAGCTCCAACCAATGGTATGCGCCCTGGAATCTCATCCCCCTCCCTCAAGGTTCCTATATACCCCTTACCCACTCAGAATAAATAAGCTATTTCATCGACTGTCATCTGAGAGTTGCTGCATCTGACAGTACCACCTGAAGAGCTGTTTCGCAGAGGGCTTTCTCCCGGCATTCACTGCTGGACGTGGGTGCGGCACTGCTCACCCGGCTAGGCTTTGTTCTTCCGGTACCTGGATGCTCGGAAGCAAGGAATCGGACAGGGCTATTATGGCCCATAAGAGCTGTAACACTGAAAACTTCAGGGAAGGGCTTCTTCCCTCTGGACCGGAGAGCTGTAATGGAGAACTTTTGGAGAAAGGACTTCTCCCCTGGGCATTACCTTCCACACAAGGATCCAGCGGACCCCAGCCGTTCCTGTTCTGCTTCCTCCTTTCCAGCCCAATGTGCAGCGGCACCTGGAAACCCCCGAGGGAAGAAGCAGGACGAGGAACCACAAAACAGGGCAGGGGCCCGCAGGCAGGAGCTGAGGCAGAGGCCCTGGAGGGTGCTGCTTACTGGCTTGCTCCTCACCGCCTATTCAGCAGCCTGCTTTCTCATAGAACCCAGGACCACCAGCCCAGGGGTGGCACCACTCACAGTGGGCGGGGCCTCCCCCATCAATCACTGATTAAGAAAGTGCCCTAGAGGCTTGTGGGCAGCCTGATTTTACGGAGGCATTTTCTCAATTGAGGTTTCCTCCTCTCAAATGACATTAGCTCGTGTCAAGTTGGCACAAAACCAACCAGCCGTGTCACAGTGTTTTTGTGTGTGCCTTGCCACTGAGGGGACATCCCAGTCCTGCTCCTTTTGCCTGCCTCCTTACTGGGGCTGCCATCTGAGGTCACTGTTGGGATTTGTGTGATCATACCCAAGGTCCTGGTCGCTCTGTGCCCTTTTGCACCATACTTGCCAAGCAAACCAGGAGACCAAGAAGGCTGAACTGTTCCCAGGTGACATAACTACATTTCACAACAAAGCTCAGCAAGCCGCAGGCTCTGGAAGGCAAAGGCGGTCAGGGCTGGCATCCCTCACACGAGCCTTAAGCCAAGGCTGAAGCTCAGGGCGGTACTTGCTCAGGGTGCACGGGGCCTCTGTTCCATCCCCAGAAGTCCCTGACAACCACCCAAACACCCTGGGAGGAGCCAGGCATGGCAGCACACAACTTCAATCACAACGCTTGGAAAGCAGAGGAAGGAGAATCTCTGCTGAATTCAAGGACAGCCTGGCCTACACATAAAGATCTGTATAGAAAGATATACAGATCTGACAGCCAGAGCAACACAGAGAAATCCAGTGGGTGGGTAGGTAGGTAGGTAGGTAGGTAAAGGAAGAAGGAAATCAACCCACCCAAGCAGTGGTATGCACATCTTTAGGCCCAGCGCTTAAAGGAGACGGAGTAAGGTGGATCTCTGTGAGTTCAAGGCCAGCCTGGTCTACAGAGAGTTTCAGGACAGCCAAGGTTACACAGAGAAATCCTATCTCAAACAATAAAAAAACATAAAAAAAAAGAAAAGAAAAAACTGGGATAGAGAGATGGTTCAGCTGTTAAGAGCATATAGTACCCACAGCAAGTAGCTCACAACCAACCTTCACTCAGCTCCGCAGGAAGGCTGACATATGCACGCGTCTGTGGAGGCCAGAACCACCTCTGGTGAAGGTCTCTACCTAGCCTGCAGCTCACCAAGAAGGCTAGGCTGGCTTGACAGCACTGGAGATCCATTTTCCTCTCCTCCCCAGTGCTCAGATTGCAAGGATAGATCAGAGGCACTTTACATAAACGCTAGAGAGGAGGCTCCGGTCTTCACTCTTGTGCAGACACTCTTGACTGACCAGACTGTCTCCCCACCTGCTTTATAACAGAGCTGTAACCCTCCTGAGTAGCCCAGGCCATCCTTGAACTGATACTCTCCACCTGGCTCCCCTGAGTGAATTTCCAGTGTTCACATCCATGTCTAGCTGGCTGCCCCTTCGTCCTACCGTTGTTCTACAGCTAGGAACTCCAATATCACAAAATACTGGGCATAAGGGGCCCCACGGGGTCCAGGCAAAGTGTTGGCTTCAGCTCAACCCAGTCTGGGGTAAAGGTCAGTGGGCTAAGACATAGGGGCCACGCAGTCCCTGGCCCTGGAGCTTGAGGAAGTAGGGCACGGCCTTTGTTTCAGATCTGTCTCTGCTCACCAGGCCATCCACGTGGCCCATCTACCCGCCCTTGGCCTTGCGGGCACATTTCCCCAGTTCCTCCAGCGAAGGACGCCTGCCGCAGGGCTGCATCCCCCCCCCCCCCCCCCCCCCGCTCTTCCCAGCCAGCCTCTGACCCCAGAGGTCTTCCTCCTCCTCCCAGGGCCCCAGGGCAGCATGTTTTGTGCGTGTGTCTGTGTTAGAATGTGTTAGAGTGGATGGGGGTGACTGCTGCCGGGCACACATTCCACTTACTGCGTCTTCAGGATGCCATTTGGCTGTTTTCTCCAGCCGAAAAATATATTCCCCAGCAATCTGCTTTGCAACACTGAGCTGTGGGGAGGGACTATGCTCTGAAAGCGCCTTGAGAATGGGGCCATGTCCACGGGGACACAGTCCAGTTTAGAGGCAAAGATCTGAGATCCTTCCCAAAGTGGGGCATGGAACATGTGAGCAGGGAGCCCAGTGCACTGGGTGAGCCGCAGAAGCTTCCAGGACACAGGATCGGCGAGGAGTCGGAGCCGGCTCAGAGCAGCCACTAAGGCTCTGGGAGGGTTAGCGGGGCAGCGCCCCACAGCCACTGCGGTGTAAAGGCCAGGCCACCGGACCTCA